TTCATACATGTATATCCAGAAATTAATGCATTCGTTCAAAAACTATTTTTCTCGACTTAGTTTAAGTTTTACCAAAGGGAATATAGAAGTAAGGTAAATCAAAATAAATATACAAAATTAGAAATAAATAAAAATTCTAAGGAACTTTTAGAAAATTTGAAATCTCAAAAATTTACCAAAATCAATAACATCAAAACGTATGACTTTTTAACACTTTATGCAACCATTCCCCACGATTAGTTAAAGTCCAGGCTTTTTGACATCATTAACAGCTGCTTTTTCAATAAAAATGGAACTCGTAAATTTACTTACCTTTGCAACATTATTTGGTTAAAAATTGAACAGTATTCAAGCTCACAGTTTCATTTAAACAATACAAATCGGGATCAGAACAAACACGGACCTTCAAAAAGATCAGAGGTGGAATCAGGTGCCAGGGAGCAGTGAGCATCCCCTGCCGACCGGTCACACCCGCCGTGCGCTGCTTGTCATGATCAGGAACAACGGAAAAATCCGTCGACAATTCAGTGTGTAAATAATGGCCTAACAATTAGTATGAAAAATGTCAGTGAGCATTTGACTTAATGATAGATTGTATTTGCTGACGACCATAAAACTTGCGAAATGATGACTTCACACAAGACTGTTGATATCTTTGTTTCATCAACTTGTTTGTCAAAAATTTGCTTCGTTTTAGAAATTGTTCATAGGTAGAGCATGTTCTTGCGTATCGAATCAACTGGGAGACAAAAACCCATATGCAGGTGATAAGGGTATATTGCTGCATAAGAAAAAAAGTTGACGATTGAAGAATTGAAGTCATAACGTTTATCATAAAGCTTTGTTTTTAGGTAACCATTAAAGTCGTTTTCAAATAAAATATCCAAATATGAACCAGATATGTCAGACTCAGTGGTATCTTTTATTTCAAGCTCAGCTGGGATATATCGAGTCGACATATGAATGGAAGTAACTACATGTATTGTTAATTGATCATACGTCGTCGATATATCTAAATATCGAGTTGAAGCCACTGCAAGTGTTTTCTTCTTCTCATGTACAAGTTTCTGAATAAATTCTGCTTCATATGAATACTAAAATAAATCTGCTAATTGCGCATTGATTCCCATGGGAAATCCAACAGATTGTTGAAAGACCTGATCTCCAAAAACTACATAAATATTGTCAATCAGAAACTCAAGCATCTTTTTAATGTCAATCAGATCGATTGTTCTTTAAAATGAAATATTTGTCGTTAAATAATTCTTGAATATTCTAATTAGCTAACATAAAAACTATCCACATCCTTAAAAGAAGGCTTTATATTACAGGAGTTTCAAATTTAACTAGAAAATTTTTGACATGAAAATAATAGCTTGGATTAAAGAAAAAAATAAGAACTGGAAGTAATCTTTAAATCGGTGCACACTGTACAGGTTTTTGTTAATATTTCCTGTTAAGAAGATCTCGAATGATATTTGTGAGATTATGTTCTTACTCTGTCAGAAACATCAATATTTCTTCTATACATTAGATAGGTACTATAGTGACAAATTCTTGGCTATTATAGTTAGGATTCATGTTCTACTCTTTACGTACATTCAAGGTACATGTTTATCATAACGCATGTAAATGACCACAAAATAACAGAAACAAACAGAGAAAGATTCCTGAATTTGAAAATTAAATGACTATAGTGTTGGCTGTTATGAAAATCATTAAGAATTTCTTGATACAGACAAACCATACTTGTACAAAGGGTTTCAAGTTACACATAATTATTTGTCTTCGTATATCAACATTAGAAAATATGGGTTTGACAAAGGAGTACTTTTAAAAGGTCTTTCAATCGATTCTCGTATTCCTTACCCTCCAAAAAAGTTTTTCACGATAATCCATCAATTGACAATAAAAGTTATTCTGTCTTGCAATTTTGTGTAAACATGAAATGAATGTAGGTAAAATAAACTTAACTTGGTTATTAGCATTGTGCAGAAAATAACGACCGTCACTTTAAAACAAATTGTAAAAACCATCTCCGGTGTGAAGACCTGTGTGTTACCAAAGATGTATTATGTTTAATCTGAAAGTTTCGCTTAGAGGTGAAGCCATCCATGGGTTTCCGACAATATTTGTAACATCTGAATCTGAACATATAACTATATTTAAGTATTAAATATTATTTAAACTTTTAATAATGTAACAACTTTATAACTTTCAGTGAAGGCAGCTTCTTACAAAATAGACTTTTATACTTATTTTTATCAAAGATGTACCGTCACATATATAACTTATTATATGAACACAGGAACAATTACTGCCTAAGTCATCCTGTTTGTCATACAGTTAAGTTGTTAATTGGCCTTTGTCGTCTATAGTCAGTAAAACATCCAAATATGAAAGAGATGTGGCAGGCTATGTTGTGTCTTTTATTTCATGTTCACTGGGATATATTGAGTCGACATATGAAAGGGTGTAATTATTGTTAATTGAAAAGACGTCGTCGATGTATCTGAAGTGACATATGTCGAAAAAAGTGGCCATTGGAAACAACACCGAAATGGTCATGGAAAGCAAGACATAAGATGTAAACTAGCTCATGGTCTGACATGAAAACTTGATATAAACATGTATTTAAAATTGTATTTGTTTGCAATTGATAAATTAGCATTCATATGTCTGTGTTATATTTTTAACGACATTCTTTAACTACTGTTTTGTCATACAAAAATATGCAATGATAAAATTCAGGAAGCTTAATTTGATGAAATGATAGGCTGCAGAAGCTTATAAGTATCCTCCAAGTTTAAGATTAGAAACGCATTACTAGATCAATTCTCTAGATCTAACGACAATTTTACAAACTACGATAAGAAAACATGTAGCTCTCTAATAAAAAAATAGGCAAAACAAATAACAGTTTATTTATTGCAATATTCAAACATTTTGTGAACCACAGAAAAGTTCATTGAAACAAAACTTCATACACAGGTAACAATCGATACAATAAGTGTTAATAATCACATATTTTAAATGAAAGTTTTAGCTTATGAATTCTCTTAGCTAATTTACTATTAGACTGTTTTTACAACCAATGATCATGAGTTATGAATGAAAGTTAATATAACTTCATACAAAGATAACAATCCATATAATAAATTCTAACTATAACAACATTTTTAAAAGTAAAAAAGCTCTAAACACTGATAGAAGATGTTTTTTGGACTTTATTCTTTATCTTCTCAAATAATGCTTCTCCATTCTTGTAAAAATTGATTTTTTTAGGGTTTCTTTAATAATTGACTTAAGCCAGTTAAAGCTATGAAATGTATAAAACAGTCCACAATAATCAAGGATGTCTCGTATATCTTTTATCCATGGGTGTACAAAAGACCCATTTATTTAAAGCGACAGTACGGCTGTAAAATGTGTGCTTTTTCATTCAAATTACCCAATATGTCATTAAGAAATAAAGTATAAAGTTGATGTAAGCAGTTTGAGAAACAGAAAAATTCTCAACTCAAACAAAATTAACGTAATTAGAATCTGCCGGAAAATCAAGGGTCGTACGAAGTGGAGCAATCTTAGATCTGTTTATTTGTACCAAGTGAATTCTAAAACGGCACGTGCCTACACTGTAAAGTTTACAATTATAATGAATATTAGGTCAAAGCAATTTTCAAAAACAAATTATCATAACTTTCTGATAGAATAATCTAAAATAATAATCGTAAAGATTTTAGTCTGCATTCAGGCGAATTTAACAGAATTAAAAGTACAAATGTTGACGTTTTGTGCATTGGGGTCCGAGAAAGGAAAAACCAACTAATTATACGTTATTGCGGCAAATGTCAAACAAAATATTTTTCTGCACAATTAAAAAAAATTACCATTTCAAATGTCAACAATGTTTGTAAGTCAAAGGTGTATTTTTATGTTGAGTTTACACTTTACTTTTTTTTTCCTTGAAAGCGATAGAAAATTGAGAAATGATAACAAGTATCAACAAACCTGTCGAATAGAACCTTCGAGAGCCCTGCGTGAGTGTCGCCGAGTTCACGTTTCTTCCTTATCCAGCGATTATTTTTAATCCCCAAACTAAATTTTAGTCAGGAAAGTTGCTTATTCAAGTTCTATTTTCCGTTTCTTTTTATTTTTGGTCGACTTTGTCAATGTAGCAGGCCTACCGGGCTTCACTCTCTAACCATGCTGTTTTGTTTATGAAAACTACGCATGCGTGCATAGCATGGAATGTGGAACCCCGAACACGTTGCGATGTATATATTTACGTCCCATAAATATCTATTAATTTTAAAGAAATAATCAAAATTATTTAATTGTGACAGTTGTAATTTTCTGAAAGTTTATACATTTATTAGCAGTAAAAAAATACCAAATCTTGTGGGAAAATTTTATCTAGTCATTTTTTTTTTATGAGATGCGCCGTACTGTCACTTTAACACATAAAAATAAGAATAATTTGAGATAGTTGTATCATATAAAGGTGTACAAATTGAGTTTATCTAGTTCATTTTCAACATAGCGTACCTACCATTATATTTAAAAAAAGTATCAATGAACAGAAATCACTGTTGTTTACTAACACTGGAGAATGCATGCAAGTAGTATTTTCAATTACGCTTATTTAGGTGTAAAATAATGTTTAGAATGCTTTAATTTATTTCAAAGTGTGTCATTCATTGTAAATTCCGTTTGTGCCATTTTTTTTAAAGAAAAAAGGCAGATTAAAACTACCATGGAATTGGAACTCTATAGTGAGCAGTGTTTAAAGTTTCCTTAATATTTTAATTGATTACTTAACTTAACAACGGTTTAAGTAAATTGTTACTGGCATTATTACATCTCAATTCTCAATGAGTACAGCTTACGTATCTCACTACCTTTCTTCATATTATGGAAAGATCTCCACTTGATGTGCACATTTTATGTGAAAAAAATCAGTATATCTTGATACAGTCAGGTGTGCTTATGCTGTAAAATCACATGGTCATGACAAAAAATGCCGCTGTTGAGGCAATTATGATCAAAAGGCAAGACACGAGCATGAATTTGTCAAAGCACTTGGACACCATTTTCCACGTCACCTCCTCTTCCTCTTCATCGTCGTCCGTAAACGGAACATTTTTGTTCGACGATTTTGGGTCGTAAGCTTCTACAACCGTCGTACTCTCCGCACGACGGGCACATCTGCGATGGCAACACAGTCTCACCATGTTGGCGATTGGTTTTGGAACAGGGGTTTCCTTTTTGTCTTTATAATAAAAGGACATACCGATAATAACAAAGAAACAAATCAAAGAACTCAGAACTAGATCCACGAGAAGAAAATATGACAACAAAGCCGTTGGTTTCGATGTTTTCGGCAAGTTATCCCCCACAAGAGTTAGAAACACGGCAATCGCTAACAGCACTGTAATAGCATACGAAACGCGTTCACCGCCATCTACTGGTAAAATAAAGACAAGAAGATTCAGAACCAGCATGAAAACCATTGGAAGAACAATGTTTATAACAGCAAAGGTTGGGCGTCTTTTCATTTTTATATCAATGCTAATATAGGAAAGAAATGAGTCTAGATGAGTTGATAACTTTTTGTCGACTAGTTCCCATGTGCCATGTTCTGAGTAATAAGCCATCCCAATCTCGGGGTCCGACGCTTGTGTGATGATTGCAGAAGGTCCATATCCCCAACACATCAACATCATGCTACAAGACTGGGTGTCAAATGGATAATACGTCACGTCTACCTCACATCCGGTAGATGTGACGTCACCAGGTGACCAGTAAGCTAAACCATTGTACACGTATGTAACGGGAAAAAGTCCTTTGGCGAGGTTTTCGATCTTATCGTACGGATTGACCAGCGTGAGACTGGGGATCCAGACCTTGGACTCCGGAAGTTCTGTCATGTATATATTATTGTACAGCCACGGATTCCATGCCAGGCGGGGGTCTATCCATGTAATGGTGAAGAAGCCAATCACAGAAAACTTGCCATTAACTTCATCAAATTCCTTAATTCCTACAAGACTGTACGTGGCATTCACCAACACTGGGGTACTTGTCGAAGTCAGCGGTCGTACGTATTTATTGTAATTGTTCAACAAATTATCATATAGGGTTTCCACTTCTGTAATGTTTGCGGAGAAAGACCCTTCCAAGAACAATAAACACAGAATGAAATAGTCAATCCACTTCATATTCCTTGAAAACTAAAAAATATTTACAACGATGTGGCGAAACATATAATTTCTATATCAAAATGGAAAAAAAAAGTTATAATTGTCTAGTCCTTCTGTTTTTTTCAAATCCCTCTGAAGTTTAAACCAGTCCTTTGTAAATACTGCCTGATCTGCTTCCCAAAGAGAAATCCTTATTCATAAAAGAACTTATCCTCTTCAAAAACACGAAAAGAAGACAAGTATTTATCCTGTGTATTAAATTGACGGCACATATATATTTTAAATTGCATTGTTAAAATAACGAACACATATTTAGTTCGTTATGACCATTCACTTTAAAGTCTAAGTTATTAGTAATGCTTGTCCGGGTAGCATTGATCTATTTCTATCCTTTACTGCGATTGCGCAATGATCCACGAAAAGTGTTTCAAAACATGCCAAATGCATCACGCTTAAGAAGTAAAATGTCCCAAGTGAACAATTGGCAAATATCACTTTTCTTTCCAATGATCTTTTGACATATATAAGCATGTTCATTTATTTTATCTATCAACTTCAAATCAAAACAAGAATATAGTCAATCATGTGGCACTGGCTTAGAAAATTTAAACCGATGACATCTAGAAGTTGTCTTTTAAAATTATGTTCTTCAACGATAATTCTTTAATAAAATGAAGTAAATTCGTGGTGCATGTTGCACATGGTTCATATATTGTAAATACATGTGAAGTTCTCTTTAACAAAACTTTTCCTGTAACTTGAAAATAAAATCCTCTTGTTTTGTAAATGTAAAGTAAAAGTAAATTTTGACTTTTTTGCGAATTTTCGCAAAATAGCATCAAATTGGCATATCATGCCCACGACATTAAAACAGCGTCTTTCCTCTTCCTATTGTAAACTAATTAAAATTAGTTTCAGCTTAAAATCAGGAAAAATTTGCTTCATACTTTCAGAATATGCATCTTCGAAACCATTCTTTCTATTGATGTTCAAAAGCGGAAATAGCAGGGTAATGACAGAACACGCTCCAACTGTTCCAGTAATTAAAGGAAAACAAATTATTGTACACCACAAATAGACTCCAATCTGATAAATATTTTGATAGTCAATAGTGTTCGACTGAGTTATTGATTTCTTCTCAACATTTTCAATCGGAAATAACTTAACTGATTACGTGGACTTACCAAATGTGATTTATAAATCAGTTCATTATTCCGCTTCATTTTCTACAGTGTCACTCCTTCAGATGAAAAGGTCTGTATAAATCATTGATTTAATAAATCAATTTAATCTCTCAGTACATAGGAAATAAAAATTAATTAATAAATTAGATTTGATGATTGCAACCTTAATGCCGTTCTATGAACGAAACCGTCCCATTTATAAGGGAAAAAATACAAAGTTTTGGTGTTGGACCTATATTGATTGTAAATGACGCAAATATTAAATTTCTAAAATATCAAGAAATTGTAAACTTTCTATAATGTTCAATTTTCTACCTTTTGTCGTCGACCTTACAAATCCATAAAACTAGGACATTGTTGTGAAACCTTGAATGAAAAATTAAAATCTATGCCGTTAGAATGGTTCATTTTACTAATATAAACATAGTTTGTTATCTTCATAATTGTTAAAAATGAGTAAATTTATATTGGTTTGTTGACAGAAACTGTATTTTGATTTTAAAAAATAAATGTAGGAGTCAAAAGGATCATTTGCAAATTATAATGTTGCTGTTCTTTCAGAAATGGGAAAAATCCCTTTAATCATTTTATGTAAAGCCTTTTAATTATGATATAGTCTTGAAGCCCATTAAGTGTTGAAGCACATCGAAAGAAATATTGGTGTCTGATCTCATAAAAAAATCCTGTAATATATCGACGGATTTTTCCGTTATTTCCCGATCATGACAAGGAGCACACGGCGGGTGTGACCGGTCGGCAGGGGATGCTCACTCCTCCATGGCACCTGATTCCACCTCTGATGTTTGGAGGTCCGTGTTTGCTCTGCTCCTATTTTGTATTGTATTATGGACTTTTGAGCTTGAATACTGTTCGTTATCTCCATATATTTCATCGATGAATTAATTTTATTAAGGTAAACAATTTAACGATTAAGTACAGTAAAACTCGGTAGTAATGAATTTCACGGGACTTCCGAATGTATAACTTCTATAACCTTTTGTCAACAAACATTTCTGCAAGCAAGGAAGAATATTGCAGCTCTTATATAAACTTCACAAATGAATTCATTTCAATGGAATTAAATGTAGTGAGACAGAGAAAACAATGAGATGGTGCAAGAGATGTGATAAATTATGTAGTGCTTTTATTTATAAACACAAACACTCCGAAGTTAATATAAAATGACAATATCTATGTAGTTTTTGGAGACTAAGTCTTCCAACAATCTGTTACAATTCCACGGGTTCTAATTGTGCCCCATTATAAACAGACCTGTTTTTATATTCATATGAAACATAAGTTATTCAAACAATTCTGTATGAAAAGAAGAAAACACTTGCTGTGATTTCAACTCAACATTTAGGTATATCGACAACGTTTCATCAATTAAAAATAGTTACTACCATTCATTCGTCCCAGTGAGCTCGAAATAAATGACACCACAGAAACAGAGGGCCAACTAACAAATAAACTTTATGGCAAACGAGATGATTTCAGCTTTTCCATCGTCATCCTAACGTATTCGATGCTCAGGAATATGTTCTGAGTACGATCAAATTTGAAACCGAGGCAGACTACTGACAGAAAAATTGATGTTACAGTTTTTTTCAACAACCTCGTTTAAAGTCAACATTTCGTAAATTCTATGATCGTTATAAAATAGCAAATAACACCTATCATTGGGTTGTATTTTGATTGACATATTTCACACAAATTGTAAGGGCTTTTGTTTTTATACTAAATTTGATTACCAGATCAATACATGGGGCCATGCGGGTGTGACCGGTCGACAGGGGATGCTTACTCCTATTAGGCACCTAATCCCACGTCTGTAATTTTCGGAGGTCGGTGTGTATGCCCTGTTCACGGATTTATATTGTTTTTAGGTTTTCTGAGATCGATCACTGTTCGTTATCGTCATCTTTTTCATTCATAATCGATCCTGAGTCATCTCTGATAGTAAATAAATAAGGTATAATAGGACCATAATTAAGAATTGGATTGCATATAATTATAAAATTTCCTTATTGATTAACCAACACTTTCATCCTTCAATAAAAAATTGCTATTCCTAAGTCAGTATATAGAAAATAAATTACGTTGAATGATTTTTCCCCCCTAAATATATACGTCAATCAATGAATGAGTAAATCAAGTCACTTGAATGAACATTCTCTTTGTTCAAGATCTGTATAATTTTGTAAACATCGTTTATGGCTTAGAGATAAAATATAATACAGTTATATGAAACTGTCCATAGTTATAAGACAATATCAAGTAATCCAAAACCTTTGAACAATGTGAAATTTTATATTTCCATCCTTTTAATGAATCGAGCTTACAATTGATTATTATGGCTAAATGACTGACAAAGGTTGAAAGAGAGTTCATTACACTAAAAATTCCGTCGTTTGCAGGTATGAAGTACTTACATATTATGAAAAAGGGATAATTTTCAACCATTTTTGTACCATTAAATTAAATTTTAAATTAAAAAAAATCAAGTGGGTTGATTAATATAAATAAACTAAATGTTTATATTTATTTGTTACACCAAAATGAATAACATTTACAAACCTTTCTTGCTTGACAGAACAAATAATGAAAATTGTTTTGCTGGCAAAGACATAATTTATATTAAAATATTATGTTTTTTGCATACGTTTCTCTTTAAAATAAAAAAATAAAGTAAACGAGCAGCAACCAATCAACGACCAATCAGCGACTGATCAGCGACCAATCGCATAAAACCTATAAACAATACAGTCATGAACAGGCAAAAACACGTATACCTGGAGACACCAAAGGTGTGATCACGAGTTAGAAGGAGTAAGCATCCCTGTCGACTGGTCCACCCTCTATGAGGCATCTGTTTGTTTGTTTGTTTGTTTATTGTTTAACGTCCCTCTCGAGAATTTTTCACTCATAATCGGATATTTTACTTGAAAAAAGACTTTAATGGTAATCTAACAACCAAGCTTTATGATAAACGTGATGACTTTAAATTTTCAATCGTCAACTTCCCTTACTTATGCAGCAATATACCTTCATCACCTGCATACGGGGTATATATCTCTCAGTTGATTCGATACGCAAGAGCATGCTCTACGTATGTACAATTTCTAAAACGAGGTAAATTATTGACAAATAAGTTGATGAAACAAGAATATCAGCAGTCTCGTTTAAAGTCATCATTTCGTAAGTTCTATGGTCGATACAATGACCTTGTCAGCAAATACAATTTATCATTGAGTCAAATGCTGACTGACGTTGTTCATACTAATTGTTAGGCCATTATTTACACACTGAATTGTCGACGGATTTTTCCGTTATTTCCCGATCATGACAAGGAGCACACGGCGGGTGTGACCGGTCGGCAGGGGATGCTCACTCCTCCATGGCACCTGATCCCACCTCTGATGTTTGGAGGTCCCTGTTTGCTCTGCTCCTATTTTGTATTGTTTAATGGACTTTTGAGCTTGAATACTATTCGTTATCTCCATATATTTCATCATATGGAGACGCCATCACTTGCCGGTGGAGAGCAACAAATTTTGACCTATACTCGGCACTCAGGGCCATTGAGCAGTGAGGGATCTTTTTCGTGCCAGCACCTACTGCGACACAGGACCTCGGTTTATATGGTCTCATCCGAAGGACCGGTCTCCACAGTGGGATTCGAACTCGCGAGTACGGATCAACTCCTTACTCCGCGACTCTAGAGCGAAAGCTCTAACCACTGCGCCACGCGGGCGACGTGAGGCATCTGTACCGCAGTCTTTATTGCATTTGATGCTCGACCATGCGATTTCCATTAAAAAGATATTGCAACTA